TTACTTATTTTATTTGTTTTTCTTTTTTTTTTCTTTTTTTCAGGCCACGTCGTTCATGTTGACTCGCGATTTACGGGAAGTCATTAATATGTTCTTGAATCTTTGGCGGATGATCACTCATCGTCAGTATCTTGGTTTATGGGATATTCAATCAACATAGATAAGAGAAAAAAAATATTATCCAATATTCAATCGACAATGACCACCCAAACCCTTTAATCTACCCCAGTAGTCACAGAACCTACCAAAACATCCGAATAATTTACACGGCAATTTCTAATCTCTCTCTCTCTCGCTCTTTCTCTTTCTCTCTCTCCCTCTCTCTTTCTCTCTCTCTTTCTCTCCCTCCCTCCCTTCCTCTCTCTCTCTCTCTCTCTCCCCCTCTCTCTCTCTCTTTCTCCCTCTCTCTCTCTCTCTCTCCCTCTCTCTCTCTCTCTCCCTCTCTCTCTGTCTCTCTCCTCTCTCTCTGTCTCTCTCTCTCTCTCTGTCCCCCTCTCTCTCTCTGTCCCTCTCTCTCTCTCTCTGTCCCTCTCTCCCTCTCTGTCCCTCTCTCTCTCTTTGTCCCTCTCTCTCTCCCCTTCTCTCTCTCTCTCCCCCCCCCCTCTCTCTCTCTCTCTTTCCCTCTTTTCAAGAAGATTCACCTACAGCCCAAAATCACGTCGGACACGTCATTCACTCCAGACATGAATGGGCCTCTCACGTAATGACGTCACGACCTTGTCACGGATACGGACAGACACGGGGATAGGGAGATATATAATCAGCTTTTCTACGTTTCCGCTTTTGTCGTTCTCTCAGCCCTTCCTCTTTCAGGCTAGAGAAATCAGAATTCGGAAGGAAAAGACGGAAGTGAGTAAGAGGGGAGAACGAGAGAAAAAGAAAGGGAGAGCAAGAAGAAGAGAGAGGAAAGGAGGGGTGGGAGGGAATGGAAGGGAGAGAGGGGGAGGGAGAGAGAAGGAGATAGAGGGAGAGGAAGAGAGGGAGGGAGGGAGAAAGGGAGAGAAAGAGAGAGAGAGAGAGAGGAAGGGAGAGAGGGAGAGAAAGAGAAAGAGAAAGAGAGAGAGAGAGAGGAAGGGAGAGAGGGAGAGAAAGAGAAAGAGAAAGAGAGAGAGAGAGAGAGAGAGAGAGAGAGAGAGAGAGAGAGAGAAACAGACAAACCAAAAACCTAAAGGATCCAAACTAACTTTAAAACAGTATTCCACAACCCATCTTTTCTTCAAAATAACATTAAAAACAATATAACAATAACAACAAAACATCAATAACAATGAAAATAATTCCTACAACTACTACTAACAATAACAATAATGAAATCAATAATAATGACAGAGTAGGTTCCGTTTACTTCCTAACTCAGTCATTCCAAGAACCGACTCTATTTTCAAACATGTAATTATTTGAAGATTAGCCTAATGTTTTCTTCGCAAAAACTGAGACTACGCGAATATGGTCTCTTACTTTCCTTTGTCTAAAACGCTCCTATGTTACAAACAGTGTGCTTGTAAGTAGGTATTATATTATAACACATCCGATGAACCTTAACTGAGGGGGGGGTATATTGAAATACTGCATTTCTTTCGTTATACCATAAAAAAAAACTAAAAGCATTTATCGAACACTCAATATTATTTATTTATATTTCCTGTCATAATATCACTTAATCGAGAATACGTAGGCACGTATGTATTCAGAAATTCCACCCCACGACACTATATTTCTCTTCACCGTCTAGAGAATCTAATCCTATTTTCGGATCTTATTCAAGACTTATTCGCACTGCGTTCCTTTCGGATCCTTTCGTTTCGAGACTCCTCAAAATCCTCTCTTAATGTTCATAATTTCCATGGGGTTCATCTTGATCATCTCCACTATACACTCTTGCAATCTGGACCATAGAACACTCCTGAACCTAGACATACACCCGATTCGGTATAAAGTTCACATATAGCGTTTTCTTTGCTTCGTTAATATCCGATTCACTCGACTTGAACCGCGAGAACGAACCGGATCCTTGACAACACAACTAGCAACTAGCTCGAAAGTGTACTACAAGGACTGCGCTCGCTATCCCTGTCTCTGCGGCACTAAGGAAGGCCCTGTCTCGAGTGCCAATTACGTGCTTTGGCGATAACACTAACACCACTCTCCTCTCCCCCCCCATCCCCCCCGACCTCTTCCACCCCCTTACTGGAATGCCACGCTCGTTAGCAAACTTCAATGCCTTGCATCACATCCACGATCTCTCTACGGTAGATCAAGATAACGTAGTTTAGCTTTATCTTAAAGAGCTTTCGAAACCGTTAGGACAGTTAACTACAAGTTTAAATTCAAAAGTTTGTTTCAAAAGGCAATTATCGGTTATGCTGTCTAACCCGCCACCCTTCCGAACTGGGACACCTATCCCCTAACACGTAATTCCATGGTGATAACATCGTCACTGGCATAAGGTCGAAGTCATGTATCGTGGCACGTGTTGAAGTCGCCCTTACGGCCTCCGAGATCTTATCAGGACAGCCAAACATATACCAAGTCCTGGCTGTGGTGCTACTTATGACGTCATCATTTGTTGAATAATTAGCGAATGTTTCAAAGTGAACTTCCAGGAAACCTTCAGCAATCTTATGATAGCACTCTTAATAAGATATATGCAAGCATTATTGCGACATATTGTGATACCTCCAAAAATACTAATGTAGGACCAAACACACACACAGACACACACACACACACACACACACACACACACACACACACACACACACACACACACACACACACACACACACACATGTATGCATATATATATATATATATATATATATATATATATATATATATATATATATATATATATATATATATACATATATATATGTATAACATACACACATTCTCTATTTCTCGATCAACCTATCAATCTGTAATCTTTCGAGAGAGTTTCTACATAATTTTCCAAACACAAATGAACAAATCATCCTCTCGAACAGCTTCCTAAAACTCAGCGAACTCCACCGGCCAATCCACCAGGTCAAACTCCAAGCAAATGTTCCTCCTTCATATTTAATGACCCTGGCGAAGCACAAAGGGGGAGGGGGAGGAGGAGGACGGGAGGGGGAGGGGAGATGGAGACCTGTTATTAACAAGACATACGAAGGAGAACACGTGGTGGTGGCGACCCTCGCTTAGAACGAAAAACAAGGGAAATGGAGATGTTGAAATGTTGAAAAAATATTATAATCATTATTACTATTTATTTATTTACTTATTTTTATTTATTTACTTATTCATTACTATTATTTTTTAAAGCATTAGGAAAGTTGATTTATTTTCTCCTGGAATGCTGACGAAATAAAATATTGAAAAATAATATTCACAAAAGTATTTTTTTATATAATGCATATTTTTTTTTTTCTAAATCAATAACTTTCAAGAAGTATAGTGATCTTGGCGTCACTTCCCTCACAAGGCGAACACGATGTCAAATACAAAGTCGATTCTAATTCCCTTCTTTATATCTATCGTGGGACTTGAACGCTGGTGTTCTACGCCCAAATTCTCACTGATAACAGCAATGCGTGCTTGTGCCTCGTATGTACAAAAAATAAGAACAAGAAAAAGAGTGTTTAAAATATTAACTTTCCGTTATGCTCCCCCCTTCCCCCCCTGTTCTTTTTACGTAATAACCGATAAAATAAATCCACCTCAATCCAAAAAAAAACTGCAAAATCTTACAGAATATTTATAAAATATTTTAACAAAATGAAAAATAAATGTCGAAAGAAGGAAAGAAACGGCAAGATATTCCTCCCAACTTCCTCGCTGAGGATTATCTACAAAATAGGTCAAGGTCACGCTTGTTGCACACATCAAAGTCAGAATAATATACGAACTCTTTACATTTTTTTACAAGAATTTGGTCAAAAGCGCATATTTTGTCATGATACTTTCAAATGTCCAAATAAAAGTGGTATATCTAGTCCTGATAAATATAGAATATAAAATATATACACCTAGTTTACGTAAAATAAGAAAAAAAGAAAGAATTACACGAATCTCTCGGGTACCATCTGCTTACAAGTTTCCCCTTAAATCGTTTTCTGTAAAATCAGAAAACGTGACATGATATGACGTCACGCGTAAGCCTCGTCTTCCAGCGCGTGGACAGATTCAGTATATTTGAACTCTGAGACATATAAAACGATAAAATGACGGAGGAGGCGCTCTGTCCTCATTATTACCATTATCCCATGTCTCATTCATTAAAATTCTGCACAATGATTAAAAACTTGATTTTTAACTAGTCGTACCGGGAGATAGGAAAGTAAAATCTTCCGTATTGATGGAATAAAATGGACATGGTTTTGGCAAGATTACTTTCTCGATTATGAAATGGTTTTCGATGGGCAATGCTATAGATAAAGGAAAATAAGGGTACGGTTTCAATATTACTATAGGTTTATATTAACCATCATCAGTCTCATCTTCGCCATCATCCTTACCATTCTCCTGACCACCGTTTTAACCACGATCATAGTCAGTCACATTCTTACCATCGTCATCGTCATCAATGTCGTCGTCACCGTCATCAAGAAGCGACCTCCATACCCCACTAGCCATGCAAAAATAAACCCTAAATATACAACAATAAAATAAAGATGAAACCTGATAACCACAGACTAAACCTGCGGGCCGAGACGAAAGGCTGCCGGAGCCCTTACCTCGAGGCGGTACATCTCCGGGTCGTCCATGGCGTCGGAGTGCGCGTGCGCGAGGTGGGACACGGCGAGGGGGGTGGTGGTGGCGCTGGCGGGGAACAGGTCACGACGCACGCGCGACGCCCCTCCGCTCGGGGCCAGGGGCGGCTTCAGAGGGGTGCTGGTCGTGCCTGTGGGCCTGTTCGTCGGGGAGAGACAGAAGAGAAGGGAGAAGAGCGGATTAGATAAAGGAGACGAAAAAAAATAACTCGATAAAGTGAAATACTTAAGAAGACTCCAGACGTACGCGCACATACTGTACTACACCTCGTATGGCGTGTTCCTCATGTACAGGTAAAGCAGCTCTAAGACAAGTGTACACTACACTGCTGAGACACGTTACCTTCGTTCCAGACGGCGGAGCGAGAACAACATGGTCCGGCCTCTAGTACCATAATGGGTATAGAAATTCGTCTAAGTGTATGCACAACCTACACGCCCATCCCCGGCACAGAGGGCAAGGGCGGGAGAGGAGAGAGAGAGAGAGTCTGAAGTTCCATACTGATCGCTACGCCCACACCTTTGCCATGGCGACCGCACGCAACACTAACAACATTAGGACAGATCTCGTCCCGATAAGTAACACAGGTACTTGTGTTGTGTGCACTGCTTCGGTGGGCAGAAGGAAGCTTACTTTATACCCAGCAGCCGGGACCGTAAGACCTCTCTCTCCCTTCTCCCCCATTCTCTCCTTTTCCCCCTCCCCCTCTCTCCCTTCCTTTCCCCTTCCCTTCTGCACCTCCTCCTCCCTCCTTTCTTCCAACATCCCTTCTGCACCTCCCTCCTTCCCTTCACCTCCTCTTCGACTCCATCTCCTCCCTCCTTCCCCTCCCCTTCCCCTTCCTTTCTTCCCATCTCTCTCCCTTCTTTCCCTCCCCTTCCCTTCTTCCCATCTCTCTCCCTCCTTTCCCTCCCCTTCCCTTCTTCCCATCTCTCTCCCTCCTTTCCCTCCCCTTCCCTTCTTCCCATCTCTCTCCCTCCTTTCCCTCCCCCTCCCCCATCTCCCCATGCTGCAGGGTCTGACAACAAGACCGTTGGTGTAATGAAGAGTCAGAGCCCCACAATTAGGGCGGGTAAAACGCTACCTGCGGCCCCGAATCCATCATCTCCATTTTCCCTGCTCTGGTCCCGCACCACCGACGCCCTACTACTTTCCGGCACAGACCTCCATGCTTTCTCTTCTTTCTTTCTTTCTTTCTTTCTTTCTTTCTTTCTTTCTTTCGACCGCTTGCGTCTCTATGGAACCTGTCGCTTTTGCCGCATGTAAAAAAAACCGTCCCTTCCACTGCATTCGTACCACCGCCGTTCCACATTCTGCCCATTCCCTTTGCGATACGTCCTTAGACTCCACGTACACTCTGCTATTCATAACATACATACATAACCTGATCTCTATGCCACAACTATTACTTACATCCAAATCATCTCAGTCTATTTTTTTGCAATATTAGTTTAGCATCCCTTTTTTATAGCATTTATCTACCTAATACACAAAGCGCTCATAAACACTCGGTATTGCATTTTAGCCCAAATTATAATTATTTTGTCCCGACCTAAACACTTATACAATCTCCTCACTCTTGACTTATTTGATTATATAATATTCATAACAGACTTGGTTTCTGACCTTTTATTTATACATTAACCAAGTCCACTTCTTACTTTTCTATTTTTTTCACGATCACTTTAAAAAGGTCTCAGATCTCGCTTTGGGATTTTGGATGAAAAAAAAAGATATGAAACTGTTCCAGAGAAATATAAAAGTCACCGTTTATGACACGTTACTCAGTTCAGACACCGATCGATCGCTTCTTGCGCCCGGGACACTTGTATGGGCGGGAGGGGGGGAAGGAGAGGGGGGGTTAGGTGATGTCTTTCGAGAATTAGCATGACCGGACGCCCTTCCTAATATCAACTGTGGGTTCCAGTGGATAAAAAATACTAATATTACATGTTATAAATACAAAAAAATACACTGGTGTTTATTTCCTTCTGAACTCCACTTCCTTGAATCAATAATGAAAGAAATATATAGCTAAAAGATTAAAATAAAATCAAAATTCACTGACCATTTTTTTTTTCAAAACATAATTTCCCCAAGTACAAAAAATACCAGAAGACTAAAATAATTTCTAATAATAAAATCCCATGAGACTCGATCTTTATCCGTTACGTTACTCATAATACACTAATAATGGCGAAGATCACCTTTGTGAATTTCTCTGATGTGGCAGTTCCAGGTGGTTTTAGTGGTGAAGTCTACGGGTCGCCGTCGCCGCGTTTCACTACCAAAATATCTGAATCGTCTTCAACTGAACTCTTTCTTTCTTTATCTGCTCTTCTCTTCTCTTCTCTTCTCTTCTCTTCTCGTCTCGTCTCGCTCTCGTGTCTCTCTCATACATGAAACTGCTCTTTACAATAACATTCTAAATTGGAATCTCTCTCTCTCTCTCTCTCTCTCTCTCTCTCTCTCTCTCTCTCTCTCTCTCTCTCCCTCATCATATCACCCGCTTCAATAACATGAAACCAATCATTTTTTACAGACCATCTTTAAATTAGCTACACTGGACCATAATGTCTCCAATAATACCAAGTCAAACAAATAGATATAAAATATAAATATAATGCATTAAAATATACCCTGCAAACGAAAAACATACAACGAATCATTTTTTTTCGTTCCAGTCTGAAGTACGCATATTTTGGCAACGTCACCCCCCAAAAAAAAATAACTGCCGAAAATACAGTCTTTGAACAGAGACCCTTAAAAAAAAAACTAATCACACAAACAGTAATAACCAACATGGAAGAAATTACTAAATGGTCTCTTACAGAATCCCCCCCCCCAAAAAAAAAAAAAAAAAAAAAAAAAAAAAATACCTTGGCGAAGAATAAAACACAAAACTTTATCACACACAAAAGTCTCTCTCTCACAGAAAACGGGATCGCGGCCCCAGCCAACCTCTGACCGAACGCTGCCTTACCTCAGCGGGAGTGTCTGCTGGCTACGTGAGCCTCTGTGTACGTCTGTGAGTGACCTGGCGCGGGGCTGCTGGATGTCCCTAGGTGTCCGCGTGTCCTCGAAGGTCAGGTCACCGCGGCTCAGGCGAGAGGACTCGTCGGCAGCCTCCGCTCGGCGCTCTAGGGAGTGGTGTCTGAAGGAGGCGGAAGAAGGAGATAAGGGCGATTTTACGGTGTGTCCTGCGCTTGATCTCGCTTTTAGAATGTTGATGATGATAATATAATAACAACAATAATGTTTATGCTAATGTTAATAATAATGATACTAATGATAATAATTATATTAATGATAATGATAATGATGATGATAATAATGATAATAATAATAATAATAATAATAATAACAATGATGATAATAACAATAATAATGACCATAACAATAGTGATAACAATAACAATAATGATAAAGATAATAACGATAATAAAAAAAAAAACAATAACAATAACCAAACCATAACACCAAAAAACACCATGTCCCCGGCGGAGCGGCCTCCTACACCCACCTGGCAGAGTCCGTGGAAGCCGCTCTGCGTAGTCTGGAGGGCGAGGTCGAGGAGCCTAGGTTGTGCGTGAGGAGGTTCCGGAGCCTCGTGGACACTGCCTCCCCCTCCCGCACAAGAAGATCCAGGTCGCTGTCATGGCGCCCGACGCTCCCACTCAGACGCTGGAAAGGGAAAGGAGGGGAGGAATTTAGTTTCGGTGAGGGCGTTTGCTCGCTTTCTCTCTTTCTGTCTAGCTCTGTTTCTTTCTCTTTCTCTGTTTCTCTCTCTTTCTCTGTCTCGGTCTTTCTCTCCCTCCCTCTGTCTGTCTGTCTGTCTGTCTCTCTCTCTCTCTCTCTCTCTCTCTCTCTCTCTCTCTCTCTCTCTCTCTCAAACTATCTATCTATCTATCTATCTATCTCTCACTCTCACACTCACTCTCCCTCTCTAACTATAACTAAATTCCAAAAAGAAGTAGAAAATTAATTTCCACCTTTCCCTTACAGGGTTATATTAATAACAAATTCTTTCACACAATCAAAAAATAGAACAATCAACGGAAAAAAACAGAAACTACATTATCCCTTCCACTTACAAATGCTCTAGATATGTCGCATTTGTAATGTTACCGGCCATAACCCATATCCGAATCAAGGTTCCAGACACGCAAAAAAAAAAAAAAAAAAAAAAAAAAAAACAGAGTACACGCACGTAAACAAACACAGCTTTCCCGTTTATATGTGCGCACCCCAGGAAATCCATTCCCTGGATAATGAAACGCGGTATAAATAATCCACCCCCCCCCCACACACACCTAAAATTCAATAAAGCCAAGGGAGATCCGTAGCTAGGAAAAAAAGGAAAAAAAAAAAAAAGAAAAAAAAGGAATAAAAGGGGAAAAAAAAGGGAAAACGAAAAGAAAAGAAAGGCAAAGAAAAGAAGCAAATTAAAGAAAAGAAAAAAAAAGGATAAGAAAAAAGAAAAAAAAGAAAAAACAAATGAAAAAAAAGAAAGGAAAGAAAAGAAAAGAAAAAAAAACGAAAAACAAATAAAAGAAAAACAAAGAAAAAAAAAAAAAAAAAAAAACTCCGTACCCCCTCGACCGTCCCAGAATAGCTTTCCCGCCAAAACTTTCCCGCGACAGATTAGGTAGAGCGTCGGAGTAAATTTCATTTAAATACACACAAGAGGATGCCATTACATCTCTACGGGCGAGGGTGATTATTTTGGGCACTAGACTCACTCCAGGCGCAGGGTGAGGGAGAGAGAGAGACGCAATGATAAAGGGGGAGAGGGAAACGCTGTGATAAAAGGGGAGAGAGGACGATGGGTGTGATGATGGAAGGGAAAAAACAAAAAAAAACATCGAATTTCATCTTAATATTTCAATAATCAACATTTGAATCAAAATCATCAACTCCACAATCAAAATACGGCACAATACAATAAATATTAAGACGATAAGAATGTTCTTTTTTTCTTTTTTTTTCATAATAAGAACAAAAACTGAAAATAGTCATCTCAGGCAATAATAACAATAATGGTAATAATAATAATAACAATGATAACAATGACAATAATAATAATAATAATAATAATAATAATAATAACAATAATAATAATGACAATAATAATAATTACAATAACAATAATAACAATAACAATAATAATAATAATAATGATAATAATAATAATAATAATATAAAAATAAATTTTTAAAATTAAAAAAAGAGTGCTGTAACCATCCTTTTGACCATGATCTGCTACATTTATCAAACATCCACTCAAATGAGGCCAGGCCAGTTATCTCTGATTTCCGCCACACCTATGTCTACATTATTTCAAAGTATAAATTCATTATCTTCTCACTGGCGCGTACAGAGTGGAGGACAAAAGATGAGAGATATTTCGCATTCAGTAACAGAATGAGCTAATTAAAGAAAAATTACAACCATTCAATAACAGTAATTTTCCATAAACGGACATTAACTACCGTTGATACTTGTCTCAGCAACACGCAAATAAAAGAAAAGAAAAGAAAAGAAAAAACAACAGCTGTTCTTTAATTACGTCACACATCTACGCACATGTTCATTCATCTACAGAAGGTTTGCGTGACCTGATATACACTTCCGTTTTCTTATATCAAAATAACTCTCACGCTCATGTCACAGTATGTATGAACATGTTTAAAAATGCATATACTTCTTTCATCGTATCTATGTACATATGCATGCACGAATCGATCTGCATGGCTGCATGTAATTTGCATACAGTCCCTCACGTACATATTCATACTCATATTCAAACACGCAGATACATTCATGTGTGTTTATGTATATACATATCACGTGTATGCAAAACACATCTGTATGGGTGAATGAATATGTGTGCGTGTGCGTGTGTATATGTGTGTGAGTGCATGTGAGTGTGACTGTCTATCTGTGTATCTGCCTGCATGCAATTACTATGCACACCCAGCAATCGTATGTATACAAGTATCCAAACCGTCAGTGCCACATACACGCATGCCGCACGCCAAGCCCAGCTCCTCTCATGCACTGCCGATTGTCCGCCTGCCCTTCGCGGAAACCCTTACGCAGTGGCTTCCGACTTACCCTCTCCTGCCGTACCAAACTTGCCTCTTGTCGTGACGTTTCTTAAGACTGCATTCATTCTACTAAATACTAATTACTTTGAAGTTACGGTTGGTCATTATGCGAAGTCTTATCACCGCGTGGCATGGCCGTTGCTAATAACATTATATAGATATTAATAGAACTTTCGTTTTCATCTTAAATCTTAATTTAAAACAATCATTAGTATCATTATCGATATATTTAATACGTCCTTTATCAAATAATCACCATAACCAGATTACACACGATTAATCACCATCCAATAAATACATCATTGCCAAGTCCATTCTCCCCCTCATTGCAAAACCACCGCTCTGCAACATACATCAACACTGCAAAAAACAACGCTTAAAAAGTGATCGTTTTTACCGCCTAGAACAGACGAAGACAAACATCAAAGCTTCGAACGTTGCAAATCGGCGTTCGGAAAGCTAATCGGCTTAAAACATCCCGACCGACCGAAGTTCAAGAAGAAAATGACTATCCCGACAGATGATGAAAAAGGAGAAGGAGAAGGAGAAGGAGATGAGAAAGGAGAAGAAGGAGAAGGAGAAGATGAAAAAGGAGGAAATCTGCAGAAAAAAATATGACTCTCCCGCCCAAAGTTAAAGAAAAAAACATTTTCCGACCGAAGTTTCCGAAAAATTATATATATATATATATATATATATATATATATATATATATATATATATATATATATATATATATATATATATAAGAGAAAAACGGACCATCCCTTCCGCAGTTGAAGAAAAAAGTAAAACACACTCACGAGTTTAAGAGCCAAGACTAAAATAATAATAACAATAATAACAATAATAACAATAATAATGATAATAACAATAATAGCAATAATAACAATAACAACAACACTAATAAATAAATAAATAAATAAATAAATAAATAAATAATCTTCATGCACCTCTATGCAGAAAGAAAAAGAAAGACGTCTTCCGGGAAGTGAGGCGGAGCTGGTCACGCGGCCTCTCTCGTGGGGCTCAGAGAGCCAGACTTGCTATCGTAACAAAGAAGGAGCCGCTGTATAGGGTATGGCAATAATAATAATAATAAGAAGAAGAAGAAGAAGAAAAAGAACAACAACACTAATAACAATAATAATAATAATAATAATAATAATAATAATAATCATAACATTAAAAATAATAACAACAACAACAATAGTAATGATAATAATAATAATAACAATAATAATAATAATAATAATAACGATAATCATAATAATAATCATAATAAAAACAAAAACAACGATGGCAATAACTTTAAAATTAACAATAGTAGTATGTCAATAACATAAACAATGATATTGTTTACAACTACATTTTACCAGTCCAACTAGTAAACGATGGAGATATCAACGAGGAACGAAAGAAATAGGAAAAGAAAAGAAAGAAAAAGGAAAAGAAGAAAAGTAGAATGGAGAGGAAGGAGGAAGAAAGATAGATAGATAGATAGATAGATATATATAGAGAGAGAATGAGAGAAGAACCAGAACAAAACAGAAAAAAGAAATAAGAAAGAAAACTGAGAAAGAAAAAAAGAAAGAGAGAGAGAAAAAAAAAAGAGAGATAGCAAAAGAACAATCAAACAAACGAAGGAAGAACAAGAAGAACAAAGCCGAGAAAAAGAAAGAGAGAGAAAAAAAAACGATTGTAGGACAAGCAACTAGAGAGATTGACCCTGTGTTTAGGGAAGGAAGTAACAGAGCACAGTAACCCCCCCCCCCATCGCATATCAATACTCGGGGGGGGGACGGTGACTTAGGGGAATGGACGGTGACTGGAAAGTGACTGAGGGGGAACGGACAGTGACTTAAATGACGGACGGTAACTGAGGGGACTGGAGAGTGTCTTATGCTAGGGGGAGAGCCAGGTGTGTGTGTGTGGGGGGGGGGGCGACGACGACGAAAATTCCTCTGTGATAAACGCACATAATTCCACAACACAAAGGTACACATACTACGAAAAGTATCGACATTACGCTTGCTATCAGAATGAAGTAATTTCCCACTTAACTTTTGACCCGTAGCTTTCATTCGCTCCTGTTACGTCGAGGGATAGAAGCTACAACTCCAGTAGGCATCTAATAGAAAATTACCCGCCCCCCCTAAAAAAAAATAAAAAAGGAGTAAATATCTTATTCATTCATTCCCCTGCCATTTACTCTTTAATCTGTTCTTTTCCCCTCTTTCTTACCATTCCCTTTCCCTTTTCCTTGCTCTATATACCCTATCTCAAGATCCTCCGGAACAAATGATAATGATAACAATGAAGACAACAACAACAACAACAACAATAACAATAACAAGAAAATAATACCACAGCAGCAAAACAACAATAATAAAAGTAAAAATGCTAATAGTAATATATTATGGTAATAATAATAATGATAAATAAATGATAATGGTGATGATAATGATAATGATGATGACTGCTAATAATAATAACAACACCAACAATAAAAATAATAATAACAATAATAATAATAATAATAATAATAATAATAATAATTATAATAACAACAGT